CAAAAAAAAAAAAAAAAAAAGAATCAACCTCGTTCTGCTGCTCTCTGTGGGCCGATCGCTGATTTTCCCAATGCATTAACACGTCAAGTGCCGTGGTGGCCGACAAAACAAACTTACACGTGTATAGAAAATTGATAAACTTTAAGGGAAACATCACAGGAAAGAATATTGCAATTGAATATCATATAATTTTATTGACTTTTTTACTACACGAACAATGTAAATTATAATGATGCGATGGTAATTTCATTACATTTTTTGAATATCCTGGTAACATTTTGACAAGCGTCTTTTTTCTACACAAACCTTAATTTTTCAAACAAAAAATCTAACCTCAAATGTTTAAGACATTTTGTTAGAATTACGATAGATTAACAAAGATTTTTTTTTGTCACGAAATAATTTCTTACCGTACAAATATTCCACTGTCAAGCAGAAAAAGCAGAAAAAAAGTTTGTTTCGATGGCTAAAATGTATTGTTCTTAACTTCTTGCGGTAGCAACTGATTGCGGACCATAACGAGTGACCAAAACGTACACAATAAATCGTCGCTTTCTTTTTGAACTCGTCGGTATATCACTGTAGGTAGACAGAAATTATTAAAAAGTATTAAATTTATTATTTGTTTTTGTCCGGGTTACAGTACACTTAAAACTATAGAAAATATTGCTATTTCGAGACAAAAAATTCTCGACGTATAGAGGTTAACCACTTGTGTTGACAACTGACTGCGGACCATAATAAGCGACCAAACACAATAACATGTCGCTTTCTTTTTGAACTCGTCGGTATTATATCACTAAATAGAAATTATTGAAAAGTAATAAATTTATTATTTGTTTTTGCCCGGGTTATACTTCAATGTACTTAAACCTATAGAAAATATTGCTATTTTGAGACAAAAAATTCTCGACGTGCGTGGCACTTCATTCCAACGCAAGAGGTTAATACGTGATTATTCCAATAGATGCCGCGTATATCCGACGTTCGGTAACAAAAGGTAAACAGTTTAGGCAGAACTGTAGTTTTCCTTTGCCCCCGTTGCAAAGAACGTCGTAATTTTCTTAGTCACTTAGTTTCTACCAATATTTCTTCCCAGTGGTAGTGTTGTATTTTCTTCCTAACAATTTTTACAAAATTTCCCTCGGGATGCTGGGAATGCTAATATCATAGTGCGTAATGCTTGTGTAAACGGAAAGGTAAACAAAATACAGGCACTCGAACCTTGACGTGTCCGGACATTAACAATAATCGGCGTGTGTTGACAATAATGCTCCTCTCTCTTTGCTCACGTGGCTTTCTTCTCAACTCGAAAGGTTGCGTGCAAAACGGTGTCCACCATGGATCCGAGACCGAGTGGATCGAGGAGAACGACCCGTGCAGGATCTTCAGCTGCAAGGCCGGAGTGATCACCGAGTCTCGATTGCACTGTTACACGCCCTGTTCAAATCCTATCCCTGCCGCAGCCGGCCAGTGTTGTCCAGTGTGCGTCGGTAAGTATCGCCAATGTTCTCGATCGTCAGCTACTCCTCGTCGTCGACTAACTATCCAACTGATGACATCGTCCACGTTTGTTTCGCGTTTCGCAGGATGTCACGTGAACGGACAGCTGGTAACGGCGGACAGGTCGGTAACCACCACCGAGGATCCCTGCGTCACTTGCAGATGCAACGCCACCGGTCGACTGACCTGCGCGAAGCAGGCTTGCCCGGTGTTGCACTGCCCTGGCTCGAAGATCGTCCACGATTCTGGCGAGTGTTGTCCACGTTGCAAGGGTACGTTGCCGAGAAAATTCTCGTGAAAATTGTTCTCTGGATCCGATTGTCCACGTTGTCGTTTTCAGGCAGCCGAAGGTACCTGTCGCCACCGAAGGGCGCGTGCATGCTCGGAACCGGCGTCTACAACTCCGGGATGCAGTTCTACCTGGACCAGTGCACGCGTTGCAGCTGCTCCAATTCCACCGTCTCGTGCGTCCGAGAGACTTGCCCGGTGCACGACTGCCCGGCCGAGCATCAGATCGCCCTGCCGGGTCGTTGCTGTCCCCAGTGCCCCGAGGTGGAGGAGGTTCGACCGTCGTGCACCTACGCCGGCAAAACTTACGGGGCAAGTATCTCCTCTGCTCCGATCCCGGTCGTCGTTCGAACGTACGTTTATTAAAGGTATTGTTTTGTCCTAGGCAGGATGGCGAAAGTTGGAAGCTTGACTCGTGCAAGGCATGCGCCTGTATGCAAGGCAAAGTACGGTGCGCGATGCCCATGTGTCCGCCGTTGAACCTGCCATGTCCTCCAAACTCGAGGCTGGAGCATCCGGAGGGGCAGTGCTGTCCACGCTGCGTCGAAAGTAAGCACCGAGAAAATTCCTTTCTTTCTTTCTTTCTTCCTTTCCTCCGGACATCACCGGTGAGTTGTTGTTGTTGTTGTTCACAGGCGACGGAGTATGCACGGTGTTCGGTGACCCGCACTATCGCACATTCGACGGCAAGTTTTTCAGCTTCAAGGGAGCTTGTAAATACCAGCTGGCCAGCGACTGTTCGGGGCACACGTTCAGCGTTCGAGTGACCAACGACGCCAGATCGACGAGATTCTCCGCGTGGACGAAAACGATCGCGATCAAGGTGAGCGACAAACTCGAGTCTCAAATCTCTCTCGAGACCAGAGACCAGAGACCAGAGAACCAGAGGCAATCACGTGCGTGCCACGATGGCGCAAATCGGTGCTTATAGGTGGGCGACTTGAAGGTGAATCTTGGTCAAAAGATGCGAGTGAAGGTGAACGGGAAGAAGATTGATATACCGTATCGCGTGGCGAACCGGCTGGACGTGAATCGCACGACCGACAGCATAGTTGTGAGCACGCAGATCGGAATCAAGGTTCTCTGGGACGGGATCAGTTTCCTTGAGGTGTCGGCGCCGACTTCGTACAGAGGACGATTGTGTGGTCTGTGCGGCAACTTCAACTCTCTGCCGAAGGACGATTTTACCAACCGAAGGGGCAAGCTGTTGCAAGATCCACAACCGTTTGGGCAATCGTGGCTGGTGGGAGCCAAGAGGAGCTGCGTCAGGCCGAAGCCGGTGGCGAATTTCGATCGAGCCAAGCGCTGCCGAGGACGAAAAGATCACAGGTAACTCTCTCCCCCTCTCTCTTTCTTTAGCCAGAACAGTCTATAGATCTGTTGGAGCTCACGTGATAATACGGTGAACGGTGTGTGTCGCTCAGGTTGTGCAACAGGCTGAGATCGCAAATCTTCGACGCTTGCCACAAGAAAGTGAACCCGACCATGTACTACAAGGCGTGTCTGCAGGATATGTGCGAGTGCCCGACCGAGAACTGCTACTGCGAGTCGTTCACCGCGTACGCGCACGAGTGCAAGAGGCTGGGCATTCAGTTGCCGCACTGGCGAAAATCCACCAGATGTCGAACCGGTTGGGACCAGTTCTCCGCACCTGCTGGCCCGTCTTTCGTACAACGTTTTCCTTGATCCACGCGTACCTTCCCTCCTCTTGCTCCTCCTTCTTCTCCTCCTCCTCCTCCTCCGCTGCTCCTTTCTCTCGAGCATCTAATTTCTTTCTATTCTAGAGAAAAAAAAAACGAGAAAGAGAAAGAAACAAAGAGAGAGACTCGTTCTTTCTTTGGTCTCTCTATCCAGGGAGCGATCGTTCTGTAAAATTCTTCAGCTAGTCACCGCGTTTGTCGAGCGCGGCGAATCGATTCGCACACGCCGCCGGACAGAGCAAACGCACCGCGCACCCGATCGCTTTCCCTCGGAGATATCTTCCTCTTCTTCCTCTTTTCTCTCTTCTTTTTCCTTTTCCCCCTCTCCTCTCCTTTGGATCGCCTGGAACCCTTTCGAGCTCGGACGATTCCAGAGCATTGTGCAGTATTTACGGCCGGTGAGCAGGCTCGCGGCATACCGTCTACGTCCCCCGGCATTCCACGGATCAACGATGGAACTATACTCGTAGGTTTAAGCCGACATCACTTTCTCTCTCTGTCTGTCTCTCTATGTGTATCTCATTTTCTTTCTTCTCTTGCTTCGTCGTCGTAGACATTTTTCTCTTTCCACCTAAATATATATATATATATATATATAAGCGTGTATATACTCGCAAAAACGGTCGCGTTTTCATCGCAAGATCTGTACATACATACATACGTAAATATCCCGTGGACCGGGCTCGCGCGCAAGCAGCGAGCCGATTTTTCGCGGGACGTCTTAATCCATTACACGATCTCTGTCGCTCGTGTCTTCCGTTTTCGCCCAACGCGCAACGCGTCTCTCACTCCACTTCTCTCTTCCCCCCCCCCCCCCCCCCCCCCCCCCCCCCCCTTTTTTTTTTTTTTTTTTTTTTTTTTTTTTTT